TTTTTTTTTTTTTTTTCATACAATAGCCTATCTGTCATACATTTATCTTTAGTATAAATAGCTATGTATAATAAAATTCCTGTAATATTTTATCTCTTATTTCTAATCTCTTGCTTCTCTGTTGGCAAATATCATTCAGCAGTTTTATTTCATCACTTGCCATTCACTGTGTGGTTTTTGTATAGCTAATATTTGCTGCTCTTGCCGTGAGTTGTCTGTCTGCAGCTAGGTAAAATGGCAAATCAAACAATGCCAAGCACACACACACGCGCACACATGTTCATCCCTGTCAGTGTTTCTATATGTGTGTGTGTGTGTATTTGTGCTTGGGCACTTTGTTTGGCTGGGTAAATGTAGCAGAAATCGTATTTAAGTGAATTCATGCTGAAATCTTAGTTAATTTTTATGGCAAATATGTTAAGCTAACAAAGAGCAGCAAGAACAGATTGTGAGCTGCTTACAGACATTGGCCGTTGACAGCTCTAAGCTCTGCGGCTTTCATAAACTAATTGAAGGCTAAGTAACTTAAATTGCTATACAACGGGTCAGTTAACATGTTTGTGATTCAGTTAAGCGATTATAAAAATACAAAACACGAAATACGATGTTGTGCTACGTAGCGTATGCTTAACCTTAAATACATTGCTCATACGTATCTTCTATTGCAACTACTACCACAGGCAATATCATATCATAAATAATCCAAAAGACTTGCATGCAGAATATTTGTGTTCTTATTGCGCAAAGGTCGCATTGTCATGTCCAAAAATTTATAGCCCGCAATTCGTATGGTTTTTTATTCTTTTATTCTGTTGTTGTTGGTTTACTTGAGTTTTTGGCTAACGAAGAAAATAGATAGCTCATGGCACACGTTTGGGCACCAGAGCCAATTTCTGTCAAATGATATGTTGCTTACCTCTATGGTCTAAATTCTGTTATTTTGTTGTTGCTGCTGCTTGTTTTGTCCTCTATTTTGATTATTATTGGATTGCATTGTTATGCAATGGAAGTCATTTGTGCCCAACTGGGGGCGTGACAGACGACGACGATTGTGTTTGACAATTGCGTGCCCAAAAATAGCAAGAAATTCTTATTGGATTTCAAAAGACATTGAGAAGGAAATACGGCCATGCCGTGTCATAGCATTTTATATGCTCTACAAGTCTATTGATTTGTTATGACGACAAACTGACAACGGGGAAGAGCTCAAAGAGGCGTGTGTTCGCTGCTATAACAACAACGTCTATCATTCATTTATATAAGCCATAAGGAAAAAAGAAGAAGAAAAAAGCGAAAGAAATGAACAAATTTGTTCGCCCATAAACGACAGGAACATCGTCAAGTGTTGCCATGGCCATTGTTGTCGCTCCTCCTGTTATTATTGTCGTCATATTGGCTGGCATAGCTGCTGCTGCTGGTGCTGGTGCTCTTCTTGTTGACATTTTCATTAGCAAATTAATTTTAATTGATTACATTTTATGCGCCAATGTGTAGACTTGAGCAGTTCGTGCTCTTCGATATATTGAATTACCATTTTATTTTTAACTTTGCTGGCTTTTGCATTCAGTTTCTCACAACTTGCCATCAATTTGGTTGGCAATAATGTGATATTATTAGCTGATTTCATTTGCGGGCTGACACAATTTCATTAACGGTAACCTGAGAGTATACCAGAAATTGTGAGTGCTCAATGCGTTCCTTGAAAAACCAATTTGCGCTCAATTTTCACAGCCTCGCAAAATGTCAGCGTGAGACTGTTTGGGTAATGAAAAAAAAAAAGTGGAGCAGACGTGGGCAAGTGCTCTAGGAAGAGCTTGGTAACTTTTAGTTTAATTTGATGAATAAGTTTTTGTCGAATGTGAATCGTTTGTGCAGCTGCTCAAATGCAAAGGTAATACTATATATGTATATGTATATATCGTTGCATTTTATGGATGGGAAACAAAGTTTATTTACCAAATAGTATAAATGGAAACTTCATGAATAATTCATAATCGCAAGTATTTGATGGGTATAAATAATTTATTTCCAACAAGTTCAAGCTCAATAATGCTTATTTGCCACGCCTCAATATGACGCTGCATATGATTAATGAGCTATTAGCAGACAGTAAGCCACAATCGCAGCTTTATGATTGTTGAATGCACAGATTTTGCATCAATTTATAGAGCAAATAAAATATGTAGAAGTTATAGTTCTGTCGTTTTTAGGTGAGAATCTTATTTGCTCGATATACATAAACTGGCATTTAAAATGCCGTAAATCAATT